CAGGCTGAGTCATTTCTACCTTCTCCTCTCTGTCAACGCTCTCTGGTTTCATTTAAAAGAGCCGATCATCAGATATTGTCCAAGATTAAGTTTCAGGGTGGATATAGCTCGCTCACACTGAGGACCTATCCATGTCATCATTTACCCAGAATGCTTTGTGTGTAAATAAAATGGCTCTGTCCGTGTAATATATTTTCTCACTTTTAGTTTAAAAATTATAAAAACTAAACATCCAACAGTATTTTTAGTCTTTATTTTACACTTAAACTATATGTTTATTAAATAAAGTCTAATGTTACAACTAATCATGGATCCCTTTAATGACTATCAGCTAAAGCTGTAGCTGATTCCTCCAACACTCCTGAGAGTCTCTTCTTGTGTGAAGCGTTGGTTTGATGCCCTCATGTTGTGGTGTTCTGTGTGTCCCTCAGGCGCAGCACGTGTTCAGTCCGGTGATGCAGGGCAGTGCCAGGATGATGGCCCCCCCTGCTCACGGCCAACCCAGTCTGGTCTCCTCCTCCACCACACAGTACCCGGAGCAGACACACACCATGTATGGTAAGTGAGCGAGCGAGCAGAAACGGCTCTCTGGGCTGGAAAGGCTGCAGACCCCTCTGGGCTAGATGGGCGCCCCTCGTTGTTCTTAACACTGGTTCCTGTGTCACAGTGTCTCCAGGGCCCATGCCTCAGCAGTACCCCCACCCCAGTGCCACCTTGCACCCCCACCCCCAACACCCCCAGCCTTCTGCCACTCCCACAGGCCAAGGCCAGCAGGGTGGTCCTCCGCAACACGGAGGTCCCCAAAGCCACCCTGCTGCCAGCCCGGTCCAGCACCCRCAGCACCCGCAGGCGGCGGCAGCAGGTGACCCTCTCCATCTGACGTCCTCGCCGTTGACCCGTTTCATCCGGATAACCGTGTGTCTCTGTGTGTCGCAGCCCTGCACCTCGCCGGACAGCCCCCGCAGCAGCAGATGTACTCGGCTCTGGCCCCGACGCCCCCCTCCATGACGCCGGGACCTAACCCCCAGTCTCCCCAGGCATCGTTCCCTTCCGCCCAGCAGACCGTGTACATCCACCCTCAGCAGGTGCAGCACGGCTACAACCCCAACCACATGGCACACGTGCAGCAGGTGGGTCACGCTCCGCCGTCCCGCCACACTCCAACGACCGCTTTGATTCCTCCAGATGTGCGTTTTGTTGAAGCCGTCTGAAAAGCAGCTAAAAATACGCGCTCCGTCGCAGACCTCGCTTTTCCAAGTTTCCAGAGCAGATAACAGTGAGACGAGGGCGGAATACGAAATCTGGACAGGCGTCAAAATGAAACGTCTCGCTCAGACTGGATGGCACCAGGCCAGAAGACTTTAATCAGAGAAGTTTGACAGCAACAAAAAACATGTTTTATTTTCCTCTCTGAAGGGCAGGGTCAGGGGAGGACAGGCAGTGGGAGTTAATGCAGGAAACATCAATTTAGTTTTACTGGAGGTGGCAGAGATGGACTGAGTTTCTGCCTAATTAAGTTTCTTTGCTTCAGAAACACGTTCAGTGTGTCTGTAACCAGGGTTCCTGCACATCCTTAAAAAGTCTTAAGACATTGAATTCATCAATCCAAAATTAAGCCTTAAAACAGGGCTATTCAACTGGCAGCCCGCGGGCCGGATGTGGCCCGCAAGTGACCAAAGTTCGGCCCACCGATTGGTTCATTCATCTCTGAAGCCCAAAACCCCCCGGTTTTCTACTTCAATTACGATAAGTTCTTTTAGTTAAACATAGACATGTGTGGTGTCTACAGACACGTCAGAATCTTTCTTGACTAGAAGCTGGTAAAAAACATTTCTATAAACACTCAAGACAGTTAAAACTACAAAAATGTGAAAGAAAAAAAATTGGTTCAAAAAATTGGCAAGTCAGAGATGTCAAAATAATTTTTATGTTAAATAAGAGGCATAATGTGTTCTTTTTGTTTTTTTTGTTTTATTATCACTACTTTAATAGGGTTCTGTCTGTTGTATTCATGATTAAATGCAGCAAAATAAACTATTTCAAAGGTAACAGATCTTTGTAAAACTTGGTTTATTTACATAATGACTTTAACTGATGGATGTCCGGCCCCTCAGCTGTTGGCCTGCAGTAACTGTGGCCCCCGGAGCAGTTAAGTTGAATAGCTCTGCCTTAAAATGTCTTAAATAAATCATTCAGAGATCTTAAAATTGTTTTAAACGTTTYATTTATTTTTAAAATAATTAACTGAATGCTTCTCGCAGCTTGTTGGTTTATGTGAAAATAAACACTTGTGTGAAATTGTCACTGTTTTTGGTTAATTTCATCTTAAATTTCATTTCAGGTGGCATTAAAGAGGCATTAAAAAGTCTTAAATGTAACTTGCCTCAAGCTGTAGGAACCCTGGTAACGTGTTGAGGGTGGGGTAAAGCTACACTGTAGAAAATAAGGTGGTCTTTGATGTGTGTGTAACAGAGAGAGAGAGCTCAACRGACGGCAGCAAAAAGCGATGAAGTGGTCAAACCAAACACGTCTCTTCAGGTATTCTGTGTGGTGTCCTCGGTCTGCAGGATGCACTTTATTTGATGCAATAAGAGTTTTATAATCTGCTGTTAAAACAGGTGCTATTGATTGTGGCTCCTGCTTTATTTCCCCCCTCAGACCCCACAGCTTCTTCCAGCTGCAGCCTCCTGCTGAGCTGTGAGCGTCATGAYTCGTCTGTTTCACCTCGTCTCTCTGGTTTCTGACACACTTTTCCTCCACTCATCATCATCATCTCTGTGTTTCTGGTTCCCAGGCTCACATGCAGTCCGGTATAGTGCCGTCTCACCACCCGGCCCCCACCCACGCCCCGATGATGCTGATGGCCACTCAGGGTCCCCCCGGGGGTCCGCAGCCACCTATGCCCCAAACCGCCCTCAACCCCATCCCTGTTTCCTCCACCACACATTTCTCCTACCTGGCACATCCACAAGGTATGTTCACGAATCAACACTCTTACTCCCATATGCACAGCAATAAAGTTTTTGTCAGATTTATTTTCTACAGTAAATGTTCTCAGAATAAAGATTCATCTGGTAAAGGGGAGGGRGAAAAAAAGGCTCAAATGGCAGAGGACCAAACTGTTTTTGGATCAGTTCCTACCCACAGCTCGGCTGCTAACACTTGGCAGTCGAATGCAGAGCAGATTTGAAAGATACACAATCTGATTTGTTCACTTAACGGGGATGTAAACATTTTTTTTCCCAACCCCCAGTATTATTTTGGGTCAGTCACAGGAATCTCTTGGATCAGAGGTTTTATTTTGTGTATTTTAGTGGTGGGGGGTTGTCCGGGTGACAGCTGAGCCTCCATGAGTTCAGTTTTTCATGCTCGGCTATATTTCAGGGTTTACTGGGACTTGAGGACGTTCTTTTGTTAAAAAAATAAAGTAAAATAAAAATAGTCTTTTTTTAATCTTTTTCCTATAACAGTTAGCCAAATTTATTTCAGCATTTCACTCCTATGTCAAAGCTACATCAGCAGCTGCGTGTCAGGAGACAGAACCAATGAAAAACCAGTTCAGACCCAGTCCCAAAGCTGAGGTGCTTCACATCCAGACCCAGCAGTCTACATGTGCCAGAACATGGACTACAGCTGCTCAACAAAACCAAACCTCACCTTCCAGCAGGGACTCTGCTCCTTTACCATGAAGTATTAGAGCCACACAGGATTTTTCTTTTTTTATATTACGAGAATAAAATCTTAATATTACCAGAAAAAAGTCATGATCTTACATGTTTTCATTTTCCATTCCTGAGAATTTATTCTC